TTATTATATATATATATATATATATATATATATATATATCTTCTATTATATATATATATATATCTTCGATCGATCTGTCATTAAGCCATTCCACCTCGCAAGTTTTCTCGTTAACGACATTTCATTCCTACGTTAGATTCGCATTCCGGTTCGTCGTTTAAATGATAGAAAAAGATTTCCAACTCTGAAAGTCAAACTCTGAAAATCAAACTCTTACGTTATTTCGAACGATAAATATAAAAAAAAATCGATAAGATTTTTCCTTCGATAATAATTTAATTCGTAAAAAAAAAAAAAAAAAAAAATAAACTATTTAAATCGATTTGATCTATCAACCTTTTGTATATTCTTCTGTAAACGAGTAAGGAAGACTCGTTTATATATGTAAGTTAATTAAAAGATAGAAACAACGTCGTGCATGATTGTCGAGAATTAGCCAAGACACGACGCGAGTCAAGATCTTAATCGTTTCGAGAAAAGCTCGAAAACAAGCTTACAAAAGAGTGTCAGCTTTTACGTGAGCATGTAACACTACTCGAAACAAGAAAAAAAAAGAAAAAAAAAGAGAAAGAAAGAAAGAAAAAAAATAAAAGAGAAGAATCCATCGGTCTTAAAGAACATGGTATATATAACTATATATATATATATATATATATATATATATATATATATATATATATATATATATAAAAAAGTCGAAGTAGAAATTTACTTTTCAAACTGACAATCTTCTCGCTAATGGTTTTCACGTGAAAAATTCATTACACTCGGGGGACTTCAAGTTTTTTTTTTTTTTTTTTCTTTTTTTTTTTTTTTTTTTTTTTTTTTTTTTTTTTTTTTTTTTTTTTTTTTTTTTTAAATAAAACGGGAGAGAACGAAGGTTCTTCCATCTTACTTATTATCTACACTTTTTCTTTCTTTTTCGTCTTCTTTTTCTTTTTTTTTTGTTGTTGTCTTCTTTTTCTTCTGTTCTTATTTATCACAAAATATAAGTAAAAGTGATAAATAAAAATAAAGAGATTCGATCGATCGTATGATCGAATAAAAATCAAATTCATACAATTCTATTCAATTTTTCCTTTCCAATCGTTCGGCCATAATGATTTTTAACATTATTGTATATTAATTTAAACATATATACATTCGCACATTTTCGTTCACTCTCATAATTGTCAATTCAATCACATTTTTAATCATAAATTATACATAATAAATATAAATCATTAGAAATTATTTATAAATGAATATTTTTAAAAGATCATAATACCTTTAATGTAAATCACGAGATAAAGATTGAAATCTATGATACGCGTCCTTAATCGAAATGTCCATACAAGTCGATATTTTCTTTTCTAAAATAATATTCGTAAAAACGCAAAATAATCGACACAATTCCTCTTCTAGCTGCGACATATTGTCGTTTAGAAGTCCTTCTGTTAAAACTATAAATCGGACAGGAGAGGTAAAAGAAAAAAAAAAAAAAAACAAAAAAAGAAAAAAAAATTGAAAAATGATAAAGAACAATCTTATCGATGTGACATTTTGTCGATCGAACCAACGCGCTATACTATAACACAGGAACTTGATATCAAAACGCCCGATCAACGTTTTCCTGGGCTACGACCTCCTACATTATCGTACGATCGATTCGAAAGAAACATCCAGTTTTTAAATTTACGAGTTATATATATATATATATAATATATATAAAACTTACGTTCGTCTATCTGAAACTTATAATATATACGAAAGATTCGAACTTCATAATCGATTTCACGATTGGAGAGCTTTCGAATAGAGACTTTGAAAAAAAAAAAAAAAGCAAACAAGAAATTTAATCGAAATGATACGACATCGAAAGGGATCATCTAACAATAGTTCAAGATCGTTATTTTATACTTTGAAACAGAACTGTGAATAAGCTAAAACGTGTTTACTTTGACTATCATTAGTCTGACTTATATTACATCGCGTGAGTATACCCTTAACTGCAAGTTTAGTCGAGTATCTGATACCAACAGAATTTCCTTTCGCGGTCTTCTTCCAATTTATTTTACTTTTTTTTACTATATTTCTAATATATTTTCTAAAATTCTTACGTTTAACAATATTCCACTCGTAATATATAAAATAGATAAACAGCGACAATAAAATATACGCTGGAATATCGTTCGATCAGTGATATCGCTTTCAACTAATTGTCGTTCTCGTAATTTCCCTGACAATTCGTTTTATCGATGAATTTCTCTTTGAGGAAAAATAAAAAAATGAAAAAAAAGAAAAATAGAAAAAGAGAGAAAGAGAGAGAGAGAGAGAGAGAGAGAGAGAGAGAGAGAGAGAGAGAGAGAGAGAGAGAGAGAGAGAGAGAGAGAGAGAGACAGACAAAGAGAAAATAAAATTCACAGAAAAAAAAAAAAGAAAGGAAGGAAACGGAAAATAAAGAAGAATGGTTACACATTTTACGACATAGCTAGAGAATAATCAATGGAAAAAGAAAGAACGAGAGAGAGAGAGAGAGAGAAAAAAAAAGAGAGAGAAAAAAAAAGCAATAGGACGAGTTAGGTGTAATCGTAAAAACGCAATAAAACTAAAAATACAACGATCTATAAGGTCTAATATCGTAAGAGTAATATTTAATAAAATAAAAGTTAGATCGTCGATAGTGTTAAATAATAATTACCTTCCACTGTTCTTCGATCCTCAGCCCGGTGGACGACGCTTCAAGAACGTAAAGCGTGAGAAATCCATCCGTCAGCTATCAGCCATAGTACCGAATGAGGTCCCTCAACGATGGCTATAGGAACGACGTTGACCGCTAGGTTCCTTGATCATCACTACCGATTCACCGTCACAAAATGATTCGCTTTCGGCGTCACGTCGCAACATTTTGTATTGGACAATTCATCGAATGAACTTGCCGTTCGTTATTTCTTAGATATTTGATGAAGCGCTCGCCTTATTTTTCTAGCTAGTTCCTTTGATCTCTGAAAACGTAAACTTTCAAAGAAATAAAAGAAGAAAAAGTATAATCCAAAAAAGAACAAAAAAAAAAAAGAAAAAAAAGAAAAAGGGAAACGTCGACGATAAAGACGATATTAAATGTGCGTTGATAATGTGTTTCCTTTGTCGACGTTTTAATACACTCGCAATCGTGTAAGACGAAATAAATAAAGACAAAAAGAAAGAAAGATATTAATGAAGGACTTACTAGCGGGACGGAAGAGGGGAAAAGAGGGGGGAGGTAAAAAGAAGAACCAAGAGATCCTACGAGTCTACGCGGTTAGACATAGCGCGCTTCCAAGCACTCCACGGTCGCTACACTAACTGGCGCTTCCTCACTTGAATTTCGGGACGTCTCGGCTCGACCCGGCCAATCCGACGACAAGCTTCCGACGAGAGGGTTGCACAGACGCATGACGACGTAACCCATCGCGCCACCCCCACATCTCTTTTTCCATTTCAAATCTAAATCTATTTCTCACGATTGTAGAAACATTACACTTTTTCTTTTCTACCTCTTTCTCTATCTATTAACTCGTAATTCGACAACATTATTATTATTATTATTATTATTATTATTAGCATTATCGTATAACTTAACCGTCTTATAACCTAACCATCGTATAACCTAAACGTAAATAAAAAAGTGTACGATAATTATAAACGAAAAAAAATTCTAAATAAATACATACTTTGTCTTTATTCTAATCTTGATAACTATCTAATTACGAAACTATTTATTACTATTAACCGTTCTAAACTCATATTTTATATCGAAATTCTAACTGCTTTTTAAAACGTAAAATCAACATTTTGAAAAATGTAATATCCTCGTAGGATTCAAGTAACAGAGCCATCTATTAAAAACGATCAAAACATATTTGTCTTCTATCGGTAAAAGAAAAATTAATTTCAACTTACTTCACTGCAGACGTTAATATTTCTATATATCCTTGTTCACGTATTATCCACGTTTTGGTTAATAAAAAAGATTGACTTCGGTCGCTAACGAAGAAAAGCAAAACGAAATAATTTGAAATAGTATATATTAATATGAAATTTAAATATATTATATTATTATGCTTTGATACGTAGCAATATTTTAAATTTATGATAAAATCGCATGTGTAATCATTATTAGTTCGACAGTACATATATTATTTACAATAATTATTTATTTTTACAACGAAAGTAATATCGATTATATAGATCTCATATAGAAGGTTTTCTGCTTTAAAAAATATTTCCTCTAATGTAAAACGTATTTTAATTCATCGAATTATTCGTTGAAACGTGAAATAAATTTTTCGAGGAGCTTACGATGTTATCACGTTGAGATATACGAACGTACTGAAACTTGTTAATGCCTGCTCTGTTTTGTAGGTCGAACATTGTTTTGATTTGTATATACACAATGCCTTTCCCCTCCTGCCGATTTCTTTTACACGATCAACCGAACGTATATATATACTTGAACGTAAACATTTCTTCTAACAGAATACTTTTACAAACTAACATACATTTTCCTGACCTATCCTACATTTATACTTATACATATGGAATATAGAAGAATATAAATCAAAATATGAATTACATTACCACATCATCTATGAGATGAATAAATCCCAGAGCTATTTATTTTTTATTGTTGCAGCTTCTCCTGTAATAATAATATACTTTTTATTATTATTTATTTTTTTAAACATTGCACAGCTCGAATTTGTTATTTTCTTTTACATTTCTAAAGTTAAATTAAATTAAATTCAAAATTTTATCTTTCCTATAAGTAATACATATAAATATAATATATGTTTCTTCTTTTTTCTTTACTTATTTCTTTTCAATTAATTTGACATAGCGAGATCGCGAATTCGAGAAATAATTAATTAATAAATAAAATTATCTTACTAAACATTTAAACAATGTACGAGATACATGTAAACATAACCAAATAATGTTTAAACAATAAGACATTCTTAGGAATATTACAATGATTGATATAAAATAAATTCAATTTTATTTTTCGACAAACATAAACTAACATTTTACTAAGATTCGAACAATCTACAAGGTACATAAACTATAATTAACTACTACTTAAACACCACCAACATTTTTAACAACATTACAAAGATCATATATATATATATATATATATATATACTAACTAATTAGTATATATATATATATATATATATATATATATATAACTAGTTAGTATATATATACTAACTAATAAGAAAATAAAAATTTGAATGTTTAAAAGAGAGCTGTAATATTTATTTTTTGAGATCTAATTTGAGATTGATTGTTTGTCATCTATCGAAGTTGTTCATTAATGAAAAATAGAACAAAAAAACTAAGGATTGTTTAATGCAGACAAACAAACAAGGCAATCGTTTACTTCACAGAAACAAAACATACACTATTTAAGCGTATATATGAACATCGGTAGTGGTATTATGAACTTTTTTTGCCACAGATTTCGGGAGGCGTCATTGTAAAGAAAAACTTTTTCTTCACGAAAAATGTCAAAAGTAACATTTACACCAACAATGAGAACAGTCGTAATTCTTAATCTATTTTAATGAACAAACTCATATTTTGAAGACAAAAGTTTAATCTAGAATTCTGTTCTCACGAATTTTGGAAAAAAACTTCGTATTTTGTGAATAAACTATTCTCAAAAAGATATCATTTTTTAATACGATTTTTTTCAAAGAATATACAAATAATATAAAAACGCATACTACGTGAATACTATATTATATAAAAATGAATATGCTACGATGATTATTTTATAATTGAATATATAAAATAAAAGAATAATAAGAAAAGTACCTGCAATTTTTATGATTACGTTTAGATTCAAAGAAATAGCATGGGCAATGATAAAGAGAACTATTTTGCCTGGCGGGAATCAAAGACAAATGACGATTGACGCGTATGCGCACTTGGATATAATTCTCTACCAACTTTGAGTTAATTACAAAATAAATGTAATAAATTTAAGAAAAAGAAATTAATTTTGTAAATGAATGCGTAAAATATTAATCAGAAAAAATTCTTCATTATGTAAAGATAAAAATAAAAAATAAATGAAAAAGGACATGGAAATGAAGTAATAGATATGTTACGTATATATATATGTGTGTGTGTATGTACGTATTATAGATATTTTCCACGTATATACTTATATAATATATATATATGTATATATTCATATATATATATATATATATATATATATATATAAACATACATATATATATCAAGCGATACGTATTGCGTAATAAATATGTATATACATACAGGCTACATATATATATATATGTTAAATGTGAATAGATGAATTATAGATGAACCTTTGACATTAGTCTTATGAAGGACTACAACTTTTATTATACAAAAAAATCCATCTCGTTTGTACAAAAAAGTGTAATCTTATTACATATATATATACATACATACATATATATATATATATATGTATGTATGTAAATATATATACATATATATATACATATATATATATATATATTTGTATATAATTGTATGGAATTTTGTCAAACGCTTATTAACAATCACTTCACAAAATTGTGCTCCTGGACGAACGATCCGTAATTAACAACCAAAAATAAAATATTATTTTAGAATAGAGGTTTAATTTCACGGACGTCGTTCAGTTACAATTGATTTATTTTGACGATAAATTCGTTCATTTCTAATCTCTCACACAACATATTTAAAATCTATTATAATTACAGTTGAAAAAAGTCGTATCTCTCATTTCTCCTGTGATTCGTACAATATGTACGGTAACAGTTTAACGCTAACGCATTATGTCTATCGCTGTTTCACTAAATAAAATCGATGAGTGGCACGTTCACCAAAGGCATTATTCTTCCAAAAAGTCGGCTGAATAGGAAAGTATGGCCAAACCTGAGGAAACTATCATTGAACTGAAAATAAATTCAGTTCATTCCTAACTTTGAATGCGAGGTATAACTGGATCAGTTATCCTTTTAAAATCTCTACGTCCCATCACCATTTGTACTTGTACTCTTGGGAAAGGGAAAAAAGTATTGAAATAAAAATTACGGAGATTTAATTAGTTCCCCATTAAAAAATAATAAAAAGCGTAATATTATCTCGTAATATAAGAGCATAAAATCAACTAGATTCTCATTGAAAATTACGATGTTTGACCGGAGAGCATTTCTTCTTGCTGTATTTTTCTCCGATAGTTATCCAACGTTACTTGTATAGTCTTCTCTGAATATCGGCAGTTTTCAGCTCCACAGGTACATGTGAAAGACTTGCATTTTATTATCCAGAATTTTTCCCCATAATCGAAGCTGAAGGCAAACAATGTCAATGTATATTGATCTTTATTGGTTAGCTTACAAAATTAGAAATAAATTAATTTTTTTAATTTGAAAGAAAAAATAGTAATATTTAAAAGAAAAGATATTTAATTCCTTTTGTCTTTAATCATCGATAGTATGACAACAATATTTTAATAGAAAAATTTTAAATGAATTCATTGCGGGAAAACATTTGAAACTTTTGTTATACAAATAATAAAATTAGAACTTAATACAGATATATATGCAATGTATAAATTAACAAATAGTAATGAAACCTAACTAAGATGCCAAATATGAAAAGCAACAAAGGTAGAGGCTAGGCAACTAAAACAAACTTTAAGAAAGTTTATTAACGATGTTCATATGAAACAGTATCTACTATTTTGTACATATGCTGTGAATTCCACGCATGAATCTAGTTTTTCTAACATACCCGAGCTCTTCGTCGGCTTCGATGTCTCGATTAGCGAAGAATGCTATCCTAGGAAAATGCAAATCTTGATGTTCGACAAACACTCGTACTGGTAATAAATTAGGTGCACAAGAATGATTAATAAATCGTGCAATATTTCCATAACGTCTTGCATCAATGCAGTATGTTTCTCCATCCTATA